CTGCTTCTTAAAGCAGCTTTCTAGTAGAAATTTTTTAATTTTTTAACTAAAAAGCTGCTTTAAGAAACAGTAAAAAAGCCACCCCAAACGAAGCCAGAGTCATGAGACCTTGATCGATTTTATCTTCATCTCACCATCACAACCCACGTGACGATATTTTATTTTTTTAATTAATTATATATTAAATTTTAAAATTCTAATTTTTTTTTTAAATTTTAATTAAAACTAAGAAATAGATCGAGTTCAACAAAGAGTTTTCCAAACAAGCTCAACCCTATAAGTTTTTTAACAAGTTGATCTCGAGCTTAGTAAATGAGTTTGAGTCGAGCTCAAGCTAAGTAAGAAATAAACAAACTTAACTCGATTAGCTAGATACTTGACTTGACTCTGTTCATTTACACCCCTAAATAAGAGTGATAAGACAAGGACGTCGCAATATATATAATAGAATCATTGTTTAAAAAAAAACCTAAAAAAACAAGGTGAGCCCATAGAATAGGCTGTTTATATTATTCAATCATTAGTCGCCATTAACTTATCATTGAATCTTAACTTTTATAATCTTTTTGCAAAACCAATGGGCATGAATCAGGAATGGAACACATGGAATGAACTGGGACCCAAACAGTAAGGAAGAAGACGCAACGGACGAAACTGAGAGTATGACGTTGAGCTTTACTGCCTTTACAGATTTGGACATCTCCATGTGTCCAAAAAAAGTTAAAAGGGCACTGAGGCGTTTCAATTGAGAGGATCATGTGCTGATCTGTTTGCCCATATGGGTGCAATGGGGACCAACCCATCCCTTTGTGGGTCCGGACACCTGACGTAGCTCTACATCCGGACATCTGATATAGCTCTACATCCGGACGTCAATAATATATCACCACGTGCTCTTACTCTTTACCGCACGACCCGACGATCCGACCCGGACCGGAACCCGGTATTGCTATGTTTGCTTATTTCTAGGTATTGCTTGACAATAACGAGAAATATTGCTCTGTCAAGATCAATACCAGCAATACTGAGCAATACCGAGCAATACCTAGCAAAATCGGGGTATTGCTCGGTATTGGTCTTGAAAGAATGGTATTTATCGTTATTGCCGAGCAATATCGAGCAATACCTAGCAATACCCCGGTCTGCACAAATCAGTCAATACATAGCAATCCCGGGTCCGGTCGTCGGGCCACGCGGTAAAGAGTAAGAGCACGTGACACTATTTTACTGTCATCCGAACGTAGAGCTACGTCAGGACACCGGACCTAATAAAAATTCATGGGGGGGCGGGGATGGATAATTACATAGAAAAAAAAGTTTAAAATTTAATATTTTTCTAAATTAAGAATTTATTTGGAACAACTTTCTTAATAATTTTGACAACAGATTTTTAATACATAAATTTCATAAATTACTAAAAAATATTGATGTCCCAAACAAAACCAAAATGATACAAATTTGTGATATTAACTAATTTAGTTGATAAAAAAATTTAAATGTTATTGTCAAAGGAATGAGTTAAGGATGTATATAGTGAGATAAAGTTGCCTTGAACGAAATCTTAGGTTTCGTTTGGAATATTTTTTATTATTTTTTTAAGAAATAATGAAAAATTTATCTCAAACAGGCAAACCAAAATCTTAATCTCTTAAAGTCATCATGAGAAATTTTTTGGACTTCATTCTCTGCAAGGCCAAAAGGTCACTTCAAACTTAGCGCAAGCAAATTCGGATATGTCACACTGAATAGTTATATGGAGAGAGCCAGCAATTTAAAATAAATAAAGTTATAGAAATCATCGGATGGACTGTTGACATGATCTAATGATTTTTACTTATTTCTAAGTAAAATTTTTCAAATCAAATCCCTTTGTTGGACCCTACTAAGCACATAGTTTAGAGAAAAAAAAGAAAAAGAAACAACGGGAGAGCAAAACAATTTGGGACCTAATGATTGCAAATATTATTCGAAAATTTATTCAAGAGCCAAAATTTTCTTTTGATAATTTGCGCAGATATAATTATGAATTTATATACATGAGCAGTATGTACTTAATAACATAAGTCCTTTAGTTTAGGATGATTTTCTTTTTGCTGCTTATAACAATTTTTTTTTACTAAAAAACTGTTCCAAACGAAGTCTTAAAATCTAAACTTTATGCTAACTAATTAAGGCTTCATTTGGGACGGTTTTCGTACTGCTTCTTAAAGTAAATTTTTTTGGATAAAATTTTTAATTTTTGTGCTATAAAACTGTTTTGAAAAATAGTAAAAAAGCTGTCCTAAACTTGATCTAAATTGAGTTGCGTCATTTTTTTAATATTAATCACTCATTAATAAATAAGAACAAACAAAGAGCCGAGTTCAAGGCTATAGGCCGTTAATTGGATCGGCCTACAATTGTGGAAGAGTTGAGTCTAGCTGAGTAAGTCTTGATATGTATTTTGCTTCATTAATTTATAAAATATTCATGTTCGGTTCGAGTTTGAGCCAAATTTTTATTTGTATGTTTATTCTATGTTTGTTCTATTTTTTTAATAATTGTATATAATTTATATAAATTAATTGAACGGGTACTTCAATGAGCTAATAGACAAGTTAAAAATTAAATTGAGACCCATCGATGCTTAGCTCGGTTCAGAACCCCCCATCTCGAGTTCGATTCTCTCGAGCATCAGTCGGCCCTTAAGTGGGGGCCCCAAAGCACCGGCTATGGTTTTGTGGCTTGGGTGGCCCATTAGGTCGGCCGGGATTTACGGACCGCCAAGCACGCTCGACGAAGTCGGGTGTGGCAGCGGACAGTTCCTCGTCATAAAAAAAAAAAATCGATTGAATTGTAGGCTTTTCAAATTAATTTACAACTTGGGTTGCGGAGAAAGTGTTTTGGGATCGTAGGGCATGAGCAAAAAAGAGGAAAGAGTAGATGACTAATGAGATGACAGAGCAACAGATGGGCTAATAAACTCAAGTGTTTATATGAAACAATAAATATAAGCCGCTCATCTTGAAGTGTTGGTTTGGAGTTTTGATGATCGAATAAAAGATATTGGATTAATTGACTTAAATATATAAAAAAATATCGGAAATATAAATTATTTAACATATAAAGGACAAATAATTCTAAAATACTAATTTAATTAAAATATGATAAGTAATACATATTCATAAAATATATAGGTAATTGAAAATAATTTAAAACATTAATAATTGATATATCATCAAAATTTATCTTGATCAAGCATTAATCTCTAGGGAAATTTGAGTTGGAAATGTTCGAAATTAAATTCGGGGTCATATGAACTCCAATTTTAACAAACTTATAGTTGAACTGAATGTCTCGAAAAGATGAACCTAACAACGCTAAATTTTACTCAATCCGAGCACAAATGGGTCCAAATTGAGGACCCAATACATATTTGGAATGTTCAAATCATAAATTGGATGATCAAGTGATCACCAAATATGACATGCTTATAGTAGAATCGAGCAGCTCGACGAGACAAATCCAACGAGCCCAAGATTGCCAAAATCTGACATCATTAAGACACTCAAATACTCAATAAATAGTCCATAATTAAGAGAGTTGATATAAGTCGCCCATTAGAAACACTCCTAATTTGTCCTAGATCTTCTCCTTATTTACTTGCCATGTCTTTCATAAAAAATTATAAAATAGCCATCTCATTTTTCACATGAAGGGGGGCCAAGGAAGGATGGAGGCAAGGAAAAGAAGGAAGAGATGAGAAGAAAAGAAATTTGAGATTTCTCGTCACCAGACTTCTGCCCGGCTAGTAGCCATCATTAAACCACTGCCCAGCCATTAGTTGTCCCTGGACTTTTGCCGAATTTCCGTTAGGCCACCAACTATCATTGGACTAGCACTTCGACAACTGTCACCCGCTGACTACAGTCCACTGCAGCTGTCGTTGTCTGATTATGATTCTTCTGACCACCGTAACTTGACTACGGACTTTTTGACCTCCAACTTTTGATCGCCGTCACCCGACTACGACCTTTCCAACCTCCATCACCCGTCAACTACAATCATTCCGACCACCATCATCTGACTATGGCCTTTCTGACCTCCGTCGTTCGCCAACTACGATCCTTTCGACCATCGTCACCCCACAACAGTCTTTTCGACTTTCGTTGCCTGCCTACTATGGTTCTGCTGACCAAACGAATATGTCAATACTGATGTATATTAGCTACATCGAGTCAAGGTCTCCCCCCCCCCCTAAGAAGGGTCTCGTTTGTAATTAACTGCAAACATTAGTGAATTTATTTAAACTGAAAATGTCTCATGGGTTTTTTCCTTTTTAGTGGTTTCCACAAAGTTTTTTGGTGTCTCATATAAACATAATCAATCTTTCATTTATTTGTGTGTTATATCTACATACAAAGCTAAGACATTTAATTTTATATTTCTTTACCGCCGCATATATTCTATGAGGCAATAATATATGCTTATAATTAAATAAATTTTATATTTATTTAAATACTATACAATTTTTATTGAGTATAATTAATATTAAGCATTTGATAAATAATTTAGTGAATAACAAATGAGTTTATTCAGGAATATAAATAAATCAGTTGGATCATGCCTATATTTATTCATTTTATATTAAAATTTTAAAATAATAATAACTTATTTAATTATTAACTTGAACAAATTTAAATAAATATTAATATAACTCAGTCTACATTTTTCTGTTTTTCATCGACTATATTACTTTTTATTTTTTATTTTTAAATTGCTATATATATATAATGATGATTTTTTGTAATTAATTTTTTTTTTTTGGGGGGGGGATTAGTTAATATATTACTTCACTTGCATGCGTTTTGGGACTTTAACAGACCACGTGGCGGCTCTTTTCGTCCGCTCCCGCGAACCCGCAGACGTTGTGGGGCTAACAAGCGCCCACGTGACTCCCACGCGTGTCTACAATCCTACACTCCCTCTATCAACACAATAAATGCAGCAGCCCATATAAATCAAACCCAAGTCTTCTTCTTCATCGTAAGCAAATTCTTCGCCATGGGAGCAGCGACCATTGTACAAGCAGGATCCATCTCCTCGTCCTCAGATATCTATAATATGTTTCCGAGATCACCTGCCGGCGGTAATGAAACCAGGGTGTCATTCCATCGCCGCAATCTGAGTACCAGGTTATCTCTCGATTTGAGGGAGAAAAGGGACTTGCCTTCGCCGACCGGAAAGATGAATCTACTTCGGCGAGTTAGATCTGACACCGATCTTATCGGAACCACGCCGCTGAGCCTTAGGGGTGCCAGATCGTCTACGCCAGCGACGCTGGCCGAGGTGGAGGAAGCCAATCTGGTCACTGGTGGGTGGAATCGAATAGAGGTTGTAGAAGAGGAGTTTTTAGGAGGCGGGAAGGGGAACGGGAAGAAGAGTGCGGGAGGAAGCGGAAGCCGTGGAAGCGACAACGGCGACCAGGATATTGGAAGCTATTACCAGGAGAGGCTGAGGGCGGATCCCGGGAATCCGCTCCTTTTGACGAATTACGGCAGATTTTTGCACGAGGTAAGGAGAATAAGAAATATAGGTCAAGTTCAGATGCAAATTATTATTGACCTGGAATCCTCGATTTCTCATATTTCTTTGTTTCTTGAAGGTTGAAGAAAATTTTAAGAAGGCAGAGGAATACTATAGCAGGGCGATCCTGGTGAGCCCAGATGACGGCGAGGTTTTATCGCTGTACGGGCGATTGCTTTGGGAGTCTCAAAGGGATTGTAAACGTGCCGAGGCCTACTATGAGCGCGCCGTTGCGGCCTCCCCCGCTGACTGGTATTCTTCCCTCGTCTCTCCCTCTCTCTCTATCACACACACACACTCACGGAGTTCGTGGAAAAATGATACTTCTCCTCAATTATTTTTGTGAAGAGAACTGTTGAAGTTATACTTACGGGGTGATGATTGATCGTTTTGCAGCTATGTGCTGGGTTCGTACGCGCATTTCCTGTGGGACGCAGCGGACGAAGAAGAGGTGGGGAGGGCGGCTTTAACAGCGCCGTTGGTGGAGGCACTCTGATGTGAATGGACGGCTTTGATTTTGTCTTCAAGCGTTTTATATAAATATATAAGCGAATAAGGATAATAAATTAGGATTTTATAATTATATGGCATATATATATAAAAGCAGTTTTAGAACTGAGTTTGATGGAAGAAAGATAACACCAGGAGAGAACATTGTAGAGGTCGAGGAACTTAAGAACTACAAGGGGCTGTTTGGCAGCAGGATATAGGTGGGATTTGAGGCGAATTTGAGCGAAATCCACCCAAAAGGAATAAAACGCAAAATCAAATCTCATCGTAAATGAAAGATGCCTTAGACGGAAAATCCCGTTTTTTCGTGCTCAATCCTGGATTTCTAAAATCTTGTTTTTCAGGGGATTTTTGAAATACATTGGCTTTAGAGGGAGAGTCCGCTCATTAAACCCGTTCTATATCCAAACAGTCGAACGGATTTTAATAGGATTTATCATGAATGTTATCAAACAGTTTTCAGGATTTAGAACCCTCAGAATTTCCGATATCCGGATTTAGAGGATTTATGAAATCCTACTTAAATCAAATCTTGGGTGCTACCAAACATCCCTTTTTAACTGACTAATTCCCTAGACCGAAACTATTTACATTAAAGTCTGAGATATATATATGGAATGTTTTGTTTTAGTGAAAGGCTAAGATGAGCATAAGTAGTTGTTGTTGAATTGTCCCGATTGTAAAGCTGAGATAGTGGCAGTTTATGTGATGGTGGATTGCAGAGTTTGTTGTGTGATCTTTGGCTCCGCCCCTCAAATTGATAAGCCCAATGTTGTTTATCAACTTGTGTGACAAGAGAGTGATGCTGAAGTGTTGATGGTGTTTTGAAGAGAATGTCTGCTACTAGGTCTTGAGAATGAATATTCCGGATTTGTATTTCTCTAAAGAGAATGTGGTTGGATAGCATGGTATTCGGTTTCTACGTGTTTTCTGCAAATATGAAAGATGGGATTGTTGGTGAGGGTGATGACCGATGTATTGTCATAGAAAAAGTTGATGCGTTGGGCAACCGTTATTTGAAAATCATGAAGCTGACAGAGAAGCCTGATGATGTTGGCGATATTGATGGAAACAGCGTGAAGCTCTATTTCAGTTGAGCATTTCGCAATGGAGGTTATTGTTAAGGATCAGTAGTTGATAGCGGATTTGCAATTGGCCAGGTTGCTAGCCCAGTTGGAGTTGGGTTGGAGCCGAACTATGAGCGGAGTGTGAGGCCGCCATTAGTAATGGGTAGGCCGAGATTGATTATTGATGTAATAGATCGATGGAAGAAGGGGATACACAAACATAAAAATCAAAGAATCAAATCACAAACTCAAAAGAGCATAACAATCTTCATTGATGATCTCCTATAACCCCTCTTCTCTACTATATATCTCTTTTCTACTCTCTCTCTCTTTGCATATACTAAACCCATAACTATAGTTTTTTATAATAGAAAATAGAAAAGAAGGTAGCGCAAACACAACTAATAGCAGGCACATGGGGAAATAAGGATAAGTTGTTTCTTCCATCTTAGTAAAATGCTCCGCATCAGTTGTCCCCAGCTTCAGAAGAGCACAACTCCATTGATATTGTAATAATTAGCACGTCATTAGAAGTGTGGTTGGTATATATATCATAATTCATAAGTAAATCTCTTGGGTCAAAAATTTTGCATCTTCAATGCATGTCTACAAGCTCGTTCCTTAGCTGTATGAGTTCCTTTGGCTTTCTACAATTTTGCATTACCTCCATTGATAGAAACAACAGCATATTTGGCCCATGAAACAAGAAAGAAATCAATAAATGCAACCCAACTGTGCTATACCCCAGTCCCTTACTCTAAAATATGGGGACTACTCTTTCTCATACATCCTCCAACTAGAAATCCTACTCTTAAACAACTTGTAATCAAAATGAAGTACATCTGCAAATTCAACGAGGTTTGGCATGATTTCTTTGATAAATGAAGGTGTATTTGAAACCAATATTACATGGGGAATTATAATATGGTGATCAAGATTATGTACTGCCCTTTTAAAATGTTGCCCTTATAGCTCGTGCAGATATATTAGTTAGCACTTAACATGCACAAGTGCAATGCAATATCAGGATTTGCAACTTCCATCAAATCTATAATTTCACTAGGTAACATAATTGTCCTTGTATAGTATGCTCCTGATTCCATTCCCAAACTTTGGATTCATAACAAAAGATTTATTTTGTTGTAGATCAGCTACAAGACTAAGCATCAATTTCCTTTGCTAATATCTAACCGGTTTTCCACCCGTTGAACTCATCAGAGTTGGTGTAAGTAGGAAAAAATTGGTCGTTATTTGGAAGATCTGAGTCAAAATGAATAGGAGCATTGCAACCTTGAAGAAGAGAAGGTAATGGCCTCTCAGATAAATCAGAGAATATGAACACTTCTTCATTCTTTATAACTCTTAGCACATACGTGAAGTGGTTGGTCATTTCTGGAAACTGTTTGCAGCAATCCGTCATGATAGATAGTGGAGAGAGGCAAGTCCTTTCCATTTGAATATTGAAGTCCTACAACGACAGGTATAAACATAGGTTATTTCACAGGTTGGCCAAGTGTAGCTAGAACTACTTAGCTGAACTTCAAAGAATAAGTTCTGGCTTCAGGATTGCAAGAATTCCTTATGTATAGAAGATTAGCAAATGATAATCTTTGTCCTAGAGGATGTGAATTGGTGGAGAATTCAGAGCATTTAGCGGTTAAATTTGAAAAGTTGAAAGAAGCTATCGGTTTGGCAAATAGATGGGGTTTCTCAATTCCTACGATTAGTTCTTGGACAGATTGCATGCTGAAGCTGAAATACATGTTGAAGGTAAACATGTTTGCTGCAAATTTATATTGCACGTTAGCTTTCTTCTCTTGGAAGAGTAGAAACAAGGTGATTCATGAGGGGAAAGAGATTGGGGTATCATCTGTTGTATCAAATGCCATCAGTACTACTTCTATTGCTATGAATTTTAGTTCAATTCGGGATCACTGGGGTGCTAATCGGTTGTTTAGACCGTTGTCAAATACTTGGCATCTCCCACCCCCCGAGTGGATTAAAGTTAATATAGATGCAACTTTGTTGAGATCTAATGAAGCCGGAATTGGTGGAGTTTTTAGAGATCATAAAGGTAGATTTCTACTTACTTTTGGAATCAAATGTACTCATTGAGACAATGGAGCTCTGGATGTTGGCTTTCAAAACTTTAAATAAGGTTATCAAGGATTGGATGATAGATTCAAAGGGTATTATACTTGAGAGTGATAGTTGCAATGTTGTGAGCAATCTCAAGGCTGCTGTTAATAAACCTTTTCCGATCCATGATGCTACTAGGTATGAAGATTTCTCTTTCCTCAAAATTTTTTGATTATTTCTTATTTAATTGGGTAGATATAGAATTTAATAAGTTAGCCGATTGTTATGCTAACTTAGCATTGTTGGGCGACGATTTTAATTGGGAAGATATTTGTTCAAATAATATTCCTCCTAATTTCTTGTTATTATTAAAGGAGGATTGTGATAGAATTACTATCACTTAGTAGATTGTAGTAGGGGTTTTCTTTTCTTTGTTTAATGCAATTCGCAATAAAAAAAAAAAAAAAAAAAACTTGGTGGGTGCCTTCTTGTGAGTACCATAGTAAGAATTTTGAAAAATCTGCATCATATGCATCTCTCATAGAGGCAAAAAAATCTTCATATGTAAAATGTAATAGCCCAAACTCTTAATTATCGAGATATTGTCCGCTTTGGCCTAAGGACCTCATAATTTTGTCTTGTTGGTATAACTTCCCAGGAGGTCATCCATCCCAAGATTTCTCCAGGATGAGCATGCTTAACTGTGAAGTTTTTTAAAATAAAATTTCAACAATTACATCAAAATACACCTTGATGTGTAAGAGTTTAGCTTATTTTACTTAAGAGTTTCACAATCTCCCCTACTTTAGTAACTGACTCCCTCGTCAGCATCTTTATCCCAAAATCATCCGTCACTCAAATAAAATTCTAGAGGTGGTTCATATAAATTCAAGTGCTTACTCCTGCCACATAGCACTTTGTCACATACAAAGTTCAACAGATGACTCCCATGTCATATCACTTTATATTGTATGATACTTATGTCTCATCTTCCAGCTGGTATATTACTCTGATACCATTTTTCATTCCTCATAATCTAATTTGCAAGAACTGTCTCTTTTATCTTTTATTATATAACAATCAGAGTTATTTAATTTCATCTATCAGTAATAAATAACAAAATAAAAAAATTTATAATTCAAAAAATCAATACACATTTATTTTTATTAACCAAAAAAATAAATAAATCATATGTCATGGATCTCATCCATGTAAATATTTATTTTGCAATAAATGCATGCATGAGACTCACCTATAAATTAATTGTTCACCAAAAATCAAAGAACTAATTAGAAATCCTTAACATGTAAATACTCATTAACTCGATAAAGAAATGGCTTAAGCAACTTGTGGTTCTCTTTCAAACAAGAGAATTTAAAATAAGACGTCAAATTTGTTAATGATTTTATTCACAAAAGCTCTAATTTAATTCCATTACAACCTATCATGATTATCATTTTAGAATAATATCATATCTAAATTAAGTTTACTAATCTTAACTATATATGATATATTTAAAGAACTATTGAAATTGAAAAGTTGGATGAAAATCTAAATGGATTCATGAATACATTAAAGGAGTAAAAAGTTCTAAAATTTTCATTGAATTTATTTTAAAATTTTATTATATTTAAAATCTTAGTCCTATGACTTAATTGTTGTCATAATTTCTTTGAAAGGCTATAGTGCCCCGATTAGATGTAGAAGGCATATTATGTGTGCTAATATTCGAAGTTTATTATCGGGAACATGATTGAACATTGAGGTGAATGGTAAGAGTATGCCTTGTAACATACCAAAAGTTAATGTTGTTGGGTTCATATATGGATGTAATTAATTGGGGCCTTATACTTGCATAAATTTCTTTTTTAGACCTTATTGATCAAAATCTAGTCATTGCTCACTAGGTCACAATGCTTATTTGCCAGCACAATAAGGTAATTTTATACAGTAAATTATATATTTCTCTACCACCACGACGCAACAAACTTAATAATGCATTTATAGCTTGTGTGAGCTCAACATGCATTAATGGACTCATTAAATAAACAAAAGTTATAAATATTTTTTTTTATTAAAATTGGTTCGATTTTTTCACCAATGATATTTACTTTAAAATGATTAATTATTTTCACATTTATCCTTAAATAAGTTATATATTCATCATAAAATTTATATCGGGAAAATCGGGCCGAAATTATTTCCGTTTTATAAATATAGCTCAGGTTAGAGCTAGTCTTGAGTTTGAACAATTGCGGCGGGTTCTTCCTTATAAACAGTCCATCTGTCCATGGACTGACCTAAAGCCATCGGCCGGTTTGCTTCCTGAAAGAGCCAAGTGAGATCTTCACCGCCAATCCAGTCGTTCCGAGAAAGAACCCTCGTTGGTTTCGCTCTTTCGAATCGGATCTCCAAATGGGGAAGAAATCTAAAGAGATGAGCGAAGATAAGGAGGAAGCTGTCAAATCCCTTTTCGGCGCTGACAATCCCTTCCGCCGTAAGCGACAGCCGGACGCAGTTGATGGCGATGCCGGCGACATCATTCGACCTGCGAAAAAACTAGGGTCAGGGATGGATTCTAGCGTAGCTGAGAAGGAAACCATGAAAGAAGCAAAAATTTTGGACTCGGAGCATTCCAATGCTAGGAAAAGGAAGAGAGAGACGGGAATAATAGCGGCGGTGCCAAGCCCTCCGTCTTCAGACGAGGAATCTATTGTGAGGAAGAGGATGAAACTTGTGGAAGATGCTGAAGTGGATGGGTCAAATAAGAAGAATAAGAAGAGGAAGAGAGACGAAGTGGAATTTGAATACGAGAAGAAGAAGTTGGGTTCAGCCGGAGAGGATAAGCCAGCGGCCACCGTTGTTGCCGTTGGGGAGAAGAGGAAGGCGGATATGTTGGATACCAAGGAGTCCTTTGATGATGAGAGCAAGCTACTGAGGACTGTATTTATCGGGAACCTGCCGTTGAAGACAAAAATCAAGGCTCTAAAGCGGGAGTTTGCTAGATTTGGTGAGATTGAATCGGTCAGGATAAGATCAGTGCCTCTTGTGGATGTGAGTAACTTTTGCTCTGGTTCTCGTTTTAATATTTTTATTCTTACTTATTTTGCTATTTATAATTTTTATATCTTTCTCGGCATTTTCTATGACTTTTTTTTTGAAGACTAAAGCTCCTAGAAAGGCAGCTGTTATCAAGGGCCAAATAAATGAAGAAGTTGACAGGTTTGTGATGATGAACTTGATGATGCATTTGTTTATGCTTGCTATTTTTATTCAACCCTCTGTTTTTATGTTACCCTATTTTTTGTGATGTGATCCTTGCAAATTCCTGTCACATGGCTCACAAAACCCACAGCACACAGAATCTGTGATGTAAGAGTTCTGTTATTGAGACCTATTTAGCATTTATATTGACATGGAAAATGATATGACATGGGCCTAAGCTGAAGGTTTTGAGGAACATATGTCATGGTGCGCCATTTCTCCATTTTAACATGAAAGCCAAATTTGAGTCACAGAAGCACCTCTATAAAATGTGGGGGTAAAGCTGCATATTTTAATTGTTCCCTAGTTCTTGCATTGTCGAGAGCTTCATGCAATGGATATGGCTTTTTTTAGGTCATAGTGCACCATAAAGCTTAGAATTATAGGAGAAAGTGAGAGAAGTTGAGAATGGTTGTCAGTGAGTGTAGAACGACATCTCTTTAGTATATAACCTAGTTAGGGTGGCAAAGCCCACTAGCCTTTGTTGTTTATACTTTATATGCAACTTTTATGTGAATCATGTTTAAGTAGTGGCTAAAAAACATAATTTTTTTTCGAATAACAAAAAGGACTGTTACATTGTCCATCCAATTTGGCGCTTGAAATATTTCGTTGTCTAAATGTTCATCATTAGCTTTAACTGAAATGAATTTGTTGAGATGAAATAAATTTTCATGTTCTTTACTAAATATGCTGTCTCATAAATGGACAAATAAGAGGATCCGATAAGTAAACAAATAAAAGATAATAATAACGCTATCATACTTATCAATATTGACAAGTGCATAGCACGCAATTAGCTATTTTAAAAACACCCCCATTAGAAATTGTGAATAATTTTTTAATAATCCAATAATATGAGACATAAAATATCTTAATATAAAAAGAAACTATAAATTTCATATAAATAGAACATAACATTTATGAAAGTTAAAGAAATGCACAATATTTTCATTCTGTATCTGTTTAAGATGTTTGGTCTAAATTTGAGTTTTTTCTATTTATTCTAGTCAACACATGTAGAAATGTGGTTTGCAATAAGATGATAGTTTTATAAATTGAATAATATAATAAAAAAGAATCAAACAAACTCAAAGCACTAATATATTAAATTAATATCGCTACATGGTAGTAATCACTCAATTAGATTAAGCAAAGGTGCAAGACTAATGATTAAACAAATAAACAATTAAAGTACAATAGATGAAAAAATTATATGGATATAGTAGGGAGAAAAGTGCATAAATAATTATCGATGGATGGCAGAGAGATTGCATAGGTTCCATGATAAAATCACATGTGTTATGTATGCTATACACTATGATATGCTCCATTTTTCATTCTTTTTCCTTCTTATGTAAAAACATAGGAAGCATGGTATGCAACACCATGGAATATGGTGTGCGTTATTTTACACTATTTGCATGTATTCCCAGTTATTAAGATATTAAATTACAAGTGATATCTTTTTAGTAGTAGGAGTCCTTCCTATTTTGCCTCAACTTCCTAGTATGTCAACAGGCTCTCTCAAGTTAAAAAAGCTTATAGGCCCTCGCTTATATATCTATTAGCTCTAGCTTATTACAAAAATGAGAAAAATATAGGCGTCATGGAGCCTTGGTGAATATATTTGTGACATGTTTTGAATTGAAAATATTAAGAGTTATAGTTTTTTTAAGAAAGCACATCATGTAGGAAATGACAATCTATTTCAATATGTTTAAGTCATTTATGAAAATAGGATTGTGGTGATGTAGATGACTACATGATTTTCTTTATGTAGAGTTATATGCTAAGTAATAAGGGAACTACACTCTCATTAGATAATTTTTACTCACATCATTTTGCATGTCGAATGTACCTTCGCTCTATTTTTAGCTTTTTTACTAGGTCTGGTTACAAAATTATATTTTTTGCTTTTCTAGGTGATCAAATTTCCTCCAACAAAGATCTAATATCTTGAAGTTGACTTTCTATAATCATTAGACTCAACATAATTGGTATTGAAAAAAGCTTTCCCAAGTTTTTAGATTTTATATACAGTGGCCCTTTTCTTAGAGTCTTTTGATATATTGAAGATTATTAGAACTGTTTCCTGATGCCTTTTATTTGAATTTTGTATATATTAAATTCTTACTCCAGTGGCCAACATAATGCTTGTTATGATAATAATCAGATAAATTAGCTTACCAACTACCCTTTGATGGTGAAATGGATCATCAAGAGGTTCATCATCTTTAGAAGTTGTCCTAGTTTCCATAGGGGTATTAACAGACTTACAACAAAGTAGGCTCATTCATGTAGGGTTAGTATCATATTTCTTTTGGAAGAGTGATTCCCAATTTATTATTGACAAATTTAATTCCAAGAAAATAATTGGTCATCTAACATCTTTTGGCGACATTACCCCGGCAAATAATTTTTTTAAATATCAGAAAGGCGTGGATAGTGACTTCCATTGAGTAAGATGTCAACATAAACATGTAGTACCGAATCCCATAAGAATAAGCTTGATGAAAATAGAGTGATATGTCGGGCTGATGTGAATATCAGTCTTAGAAATGCCTTTAGAAGGTTTTTTCAACTTGGCCTATGTACTCTTTTTGGGGTTAATATTATTTTAATTGAATAATATACAAGCCATCATTACATCTAATATCAAGTATTTGACAAATTATTTATTGAACAGCAAACTTGTTCATGAACTTAAATCAATGAATTGGGTTATTTTCAACATTGGTTCATTTAAAATTCAATTTTTTTTTTCTAGAATTCTTGTACAATTACTATCTCTAATGAGTATTACTTGAGCTAAGTTTGAGTTTTTAATCAAGTGTTCTAGTTCATTTGCAACCCTACTTGTTTTCATACATGATGATGCAATGCATCTTATTGTGTCCTACAAATGAATACAATTGATAGGAATAAGGATGACAATAATAACAACATCAAGCCTTTATCCTACTATATGGGGTCAACTATATGAATATATATTTTTGCCATTGTGTCATATTAAGAGTCAAGTTCTCTAAATCTAATAAAAACATCATTTCTAATACTTTCTAACCAAGTTTTTTTAGGTCTATTTCTACCTTTCTTAATGTAAGCTAGATCTCATACATTTACTCTCCTAACTGGGTCATCGAAAGGCTGACATTTTATGTGATCAAACTATCTAAGGGAACTCTCTAATCTTATCTGCCACTGGAGCTATTTCAACCTTATCACGCGTATACACTCGTTTCACATTGCATCTCTAAGTGTAAAGCCACTTATCGACCCGAACATCCTCATTAGTGCAACACTTAACTTAATGGCCAACATTCTACATTGTAAAGCATTATAGTTCTCACCACCATCTTATAGAATTTTCCCTTAAGTTTGATGGGTACTTTTCTATCACATAGTATGCCTAATGCATTCCTCCACTTCATCCATCCAACTTGAATTCTACTGAAAATATACCCATCTATTTCACCATTGTTTTTGCACAATAGTCTCGAGATGTCTAAAATGCGTACTCTTTTTAATGACTTGATCGCCCGAAGTTACAATCTCCCACTATATCTATTACTATTAGAATTACACTCTATGTTTTCAGTTTTAGATACACTCAAATGAAAACATTTAGATTCTAACGTTGAGCTCCATAATTCAAGTTTTCCTTCAACTTCTTCTCTAGTATTATCAATAAGAAAAATATCATTAGCAAAAAGTATACATCAGGATACATCCTTTTGCATATGTCTAGTAAGACATTCATGACTAAAGCAACAAAGAGAAGGGCGTAAAGTTGATCCTTGATGTCAACAACTGAATTTGGAGACGATGAGAAGGAAAACGATCAAAATGAAGTAGATAATTGGTCGAATAAAGTATTAGAGTGATTAAGAGTAGCAATTCATTACCTTTTACCGCATTGGACGGTAAGAGGAAGATGTGGGTCAGATAACATTGGCTGGTGGATGCTTAGTTGAATTTAATAGTTTGGAAAGAGGTGTTGACATGGATGGAGATTGACTATGACAATTGTATACATGCAAAGGTATAGCGGTAAGAAGGGGATCTTCTAGTGGAAGATGAATTGGTGGGGAGGAGGGCTTAAGGGAGAAAAGAAATGAATCCTGTAAAAGGTTATTTTGATGAAAGTGTATATGCGTCGTGTAAGTGAATCATAGAGAAAATAACTTTTTTGAGCATGAAATTACTTGAGGAGGATGCATTGGATAACATGAGGAGAGAGAGGCACATGAATATTACATGTAGGCCAAAGAGGTGTGGTGTGAGAGGAAAGATAATTTTATTGAGATAAGGAATAAAAATATGTGAGGTGTGATCTAGAAGTGGAGAAAGGGTTTAATTGATGAGATAAAAGTTGGTTAGGACAACATGCCTCTAGAACTAACAAGAAATATTCATGTGAAGCATTAATATCATGGAAAGATTATGGAGGTGGCAATTTTTATGGTTAATACTAATGTGTTGAGAGTTAGAAGGGCAAGAAGTCCGTTGAATAATATCTTTGGTAGAGTAGCAGGTGTGAAATTAAGATTGTATGAATCTAAAATGTTATTGCTATGTGATGTTTTGATGAAAGCAGCAAATTGAACTTCAGTTTCTTCATAAAAAGGTTGAAATATAAGAAAGGTCTTAGAGTGGAACAATTATTAGGTCTAGACACCGGACGTAGCTCTACATCCGGAGGCCAATAACATGTCGCCACGTGCTCTTACTCTTTACCGCGCGGCCCGACGACCCTACCCGGACCTGAAACCGGTATTGCTATGTTCGGTTATTGCTAGGTATTGCTTGACAATAATGAGAAATATTGCTCTGTCAAGATCAATACCGAGCAATACCTAGCAAAATCGGGGTATTGCTAGGTATTGGTCTTGATAGAATGGTATTTCTCGTTATTGCCGAGCAATATCGAGCAATACCTAGCAATACCCCGTTCT